TTTTTGAGAAGTGAGCTCCCTGGCAACCCACTTTTGGGTCCTCTCCTGTGTCTCAGGAGCTATCTCTCCAAGTTTTCCTACTCTTAACCTCTGCTGTTCCTTAGAATTCATTCTTTGATTTTGGGGAACACAAACTCAGCTCATCTGACATCTAGAAGGTTGGGAGTTACATTTCTCCTATATCATGTGGAGGTCCTGTATCACGGTGACAAAATATACCCAAGAGAAAGAGCACTAACACTAGAAAGATTTTCAGGGCCAACAGTGCCGATAAGAAAACTGTCACGTCAGGAGGTAGGCGCTGTAGTTCAGTGACAAGTGAACCCCTCAACAAAGGTGACTATAGCAGGAGAGAATCAGACGGCCATGACAGATGTAGAGGGGAGAATCCACACGATAAAGTGCTACATCAGCGCTAACCAGTAAGGGGAGAAGCAAGAACTAAGGAAGACCCCTAACAGTTTCTAGTAGAACAAAGATTTCTTTCCTCTCAACCACAATCAGTGCTCCAAAACATGGGGAGAAGTGGGGAGAGAAGGGGGTGACAAAATATAAGCTGCTTCTTTGGTAAGGCAGGATTTATCATATCCCCAAACCACATGTATGAAAAAAATGGAAGCATGATAACAGACTTATCAGAGAAGAGAAAGGAGGAACTAAAATGCCTGCAAAAGAAAATTCTGACAAGTGGCAAACTAACTAGAACAGGTTAAGCTGAAATGCTTCAAGTTTCAGATTTGAATTTTCAGATTAAGTGTTCACATTGTAGTCTACACAAATATTCCAACATCTGAAAAACACAACAATCTGAAACACTTCTGGACCCAAGCATTTTAGATAAGAGATACTCAACCTGTACCATGAAACTCAAAATGCTCAGAAATGGGCATCCCTAGAGACCTGAAAGATTAGAGCTGAGTTCACGCTGAAAACGGGCTGAGGTGCAACTTTTTTTTTTTTAGAGAACTCAGGCTTCCTCACCCACCTCCCAAAGTCCCTTACCTATTCTGTTTCTCTCAATCCCCCAGGAGAAAGGAGGTTCATCATTGGGAAAATCATGTAGGAGAAGTACCAGACTCAGACGTAATGAGAAAAGCAAAGTTTGCAAATAAGGTGCTTAATTATAAGACAACTAAATGAAAGTGTGCAAGAGATCAACCCAATGGTTGCCTTTTAACTATCCAGCTCCAAGTATAAACTACAAGTCAACAAGCTAAGATAGTTATGGAACAGGTCTAGAGGGAAATTACCCAAATCAGGACAATGGGCTCCAGGAGTCAGTGGGCAGTGTGGCAAGTGGGAACAGCGCACTGTGGAGCAACAGAGTGACACAGTATCTGACTCGGCAGACTAAAAAATTGTCCTGAGAGGTCACTGGAAGGTGTGTGTCAGCTTAACTCCTGACACAAGGAAAATAATCAAATGAAAAACAAGGCAATTACTAACTCCAGGAAAACAAAAAATTGTACAGGGAAAAAAATTAATAGTACACTTCTGGTTAAGAATACTAACAATATTATACTCCAAATATGATCGTTGATTAATGATTTCTCAAAAAATTATACCTATTGAGAGAACTGAGGACAACTTGGGAAAGGTCTGTGTGTACCTATCAGAGATCAACTAATGCCTAACACTGATGAAGCAATAGCACTGTAAACAATTGCTTTAAAAATATGGAGATGAAGTACAAACTGGAAGAGTGAGAAAAGTTCAGTCTTTTCCTCTGGGGAACAGGGTGCACAGTCAAGAGATGGCTTTTCACTACAGGTCTTTTCACACTGTTAAGATTTTTGCTCTTGTGAACAAACTACTGTGATAAGAATAAAATGCTAATTTTAAAAGTTGGACAAAAAAAAAAAGAGTGCACTCAAGAAATACGCATAGATCAGTCAAACTTACCCAGAAGCACTAACTTCTGCAGAGTCTCAGAATGATCTACATAGTCTTGAAGTGTGAATGAAGCTGGGGGCAATGGAGGGTCTGCAGTAATCTGAATAGCTTCCTCCTCAGAAATCAGCTGCAGTGGAGACAATGCAGGCAAATCGTCCAGTTCTTTTTGAGGTCAGCCATGTGGAAAGAGAGAAGCAAGTCAGGTCCCTAATGTACACACTTAAAACTGTTTCTACAAACCTCTGTGTCTTTTGCTGGTTAAAGCGTGGGGTCATTTCAAAATTAAAAGCTTAAGAAGTTCAAAAAAATTTCACCTTCTAAGAGGTAAGAGTAAGATAAGTTTGTGGGTGAAATTTCATTTTTCATCAGCAGATAAGATCGACTGCTCTTCACACCCATTTTTTCTTTTGGTATGGAAGTATGAATCGTGGACCTTTAACCTGAGCTACATCCCCAGCCCTTTTGAAGTTATTTTTATTTTGAAACAAGGTCTTGCTAAATTGCTGGGGCTGAGTTTAAACTTGCAGTCCTCCTGGCTCACCTTCCCAAAGTGCTGGGATTACAGGTGTGTACCACCACGCCCTGCTCCTTCATGTGAGAGACTCAGTCTATCATGGTTTGTTATCTTGGCCAAAAGTGGGTATTTCAACAGCCTGAATTGCAAGGTTAAAGTCATGACATCCTGAAAATGCTTTGTTTTCAACCCATCTCCTCCTCCTCCTCCTAAGTTATTCTCAGCTGCCTTTAAGAGAAAGTCGGTTTCCATCATCTGCAGTACTTTGCTAAGAGACTGCTCTCTCCTACAGACTCCACTCTATGGTTTTGATTTATTAAAACACAGTATAAGCCAGGCGTGGTGGCGCGTACCTGTAATCCCGCACTCAGGAGGCTGAGGCAGTAGGATCAATGTGAGTTCAAGACGAGTCTAAACTACACAGGGAGACCTTGTCTCAAAGAAATTTAAAAAAAACAAAACAATATTGTAACTTAAGAAATCACAATTGTGATCTTTTGTTGTTTTTTGCCTCAAACTGTTACCTACCCTTCCTCATTTTTCATAGCCAGCCTTTTGTCCTGCCTCTCCTTCCAGCTAGCTTAGCAGCTAGCTAGCTTTCTTTCTTTTCATTCATCTTCTACTCAGCCAAATATTATCCCATTTGTGGTGAAATACTAGACTCCTACACTAGGAAACAGGAAAGAGAGGGCTGACTAAAAACCAAGACATGGGAATTTTTCATGGTGATGTAATGGTTCCATTTTTTTTTTATTATGTTGACTGTAAAAATTCATAGAACTTAGGCCTGAAAAGACAGATTTTACCTGATGTGCATTATACTCTAACAAATCTAATTCATAACAGAAGAAAAAATTTAAATAATCTAAAGAACGATCCATTTAGGAAGTGTTATATACAGCTATAAGACAATCATATATATTAACCTACAAAGATCTCAGTAAATACAGCAAATGTATAACAGAACTAAATGAATAGAACCAGCGTTGTTCCTTTTCTTGCCTGGTACAAAATACAACCTGAAATGGGCTAGCAGAATGTAAACAAGTTGTTTAAATCACCAAATAGGAGAAAGAGGGACTACTTGGCTGAAAGCTCAGAATTACCTTCTAGAGACAGCTCAGAATCAAAGCTGGGTATCTTTTGCGTCTTCTCTGTCTGCTCACTCACCGCAGGAAGCAGAGTGCTTTGGGCAGAATTACTCTCTTGCCCACTTGAGTTGGTAGACTGGGAACTATTCCATAAGGAGGAAGTTCTGTAAGTCTTATATCCCCACTGGAGAAAGTAATTATCTGAGGACAGCTGTGGCAGAGCACAAAAGCCATTTAACAATGTTTTTCCTGGTCTGGGAAAACGTTTTGTGAATCGTGTAGCATTAATGAAGCTCCTCAAATTAATTGAGCTGAACCATCTGGGTATCTGTTGGGCTAATAAGGCCATTTTTCTTAAAGTCATCTACAAAGAAAAAGTACAACTGTCAAAAGGAGAGAAATTCAATTTACTTAAATGTTCAAAACAATGTTCGCACAACAAAAAGATAAATTGGAAATTATTTTTTGTAAATGACAGTGTTGAAGTAAATTTAGATGATAAAAGTAATGAAATTTTCTTAAATACAGGAAAAGCCAGAAGCAAGGCAGCCAACGGACAAAACCTTCTAAACTGGAAAAATGAGGCTGTGCTTTACAGTTTGAAAACAAAAAACACAATCATTGGTGAAAGAAAAGCATTTAAAACAAAAATCTATAAATGTTCAAATTACAATTGATCTAAGTCCTGTTAATTTAATTAATCACTTAAGGAAAACAACACAATGATGCAATGATTAAGTGTACTTGGAATTTGGTTTGAAGGGCATTTAAGGGGTATACTGCTGATCAAAATAATACTGAATTATTCAAATGAATTTTATGCATATAAATTAGTCACAAAATAAAGGGAAGCCACTCTATCTCACATGAACTGTCACAATATTATAGAACAGTCAAGGCTGGTTCTTGATTATTCCTCATATAAAGCTGTTTTTCAAAAGAAAATTGAATAAAACTAGTTTTGTCAAATTCTGTTTTACTGTAGGAAATAAGAAAAAGAACAGCCATCAAAGAAAAGGTCAAAATAGCAAACAGGGAAAAGAATAAGCAACCAGCAATGCATAATTGTGTATGATGCCTGAAAACATAGCTGTTTTGAACAAACAGGCTATTGCTATTTCAATCTCTAGGAATATGAAAGAATTGTGTACTTTTCTAGCTAATTAGAATGGGAAATTTAATGCATATGACCTGGCTAACCAGGTTAAACAAGCTAACCATATGAAACATGGCATGGAATCCAGCATAGGCTAAACCGTCAATAAATATTAGCCCTTATTATTACTGACTTGCCAGCCAAATACAATTAATTCTATGAATTAACTGTATTTTGTATATTAATTCTATATATTAACTGTATTTTTGCACAAAACTTCCTGCTTTGTTTTCCTGCTTAGTGAATTCAAATTGTTTTATCCCCTGAATTAAGTTAAATACTTCAGGGCTTACTCTCTTAGAGATTTGCAGCTCTGGGAAGTTTGCTGAAAGAGATTTATAAAAGTGAAAAATCTTTCCGGGCATGGTAGTACACGCCCCTAATCTCAGCACTTGGGAGGCTGAGGCAGGAGGATCGCTTGGAGTTCAAGGCCAGCCTCAACTACATAGCAAGACTCTGTCTCAAAAAGACAAAAACTTAAATGAAACAAAAAAAGTGAAAATCTCACTTTCATCCTGAAGTAATCTTAGGAAATATTCACAACAAACTTGTGGGATAGGTGAGTTTTGTTAAATTTTGGTAAGAAATGAGTCCCCCAGAATGTCAGATCTTCCCTCAAGCCTCCTCTACTCTGCACAGGCTCCCAAGTAAGATGTCAGTTATGTTATCCTGCCAAGACCGAGAAAGGCTCAATAATCATTCTTCATTGCTAGAGATAGAACTCAGGGCCATGAGCTGTAGGACTGAGCTACACTCCCAGCCCCCAAATACCTTTAGAAAAGGTTAAAGGTACAAGACATGATTTTGGGGTCCCTATCAACAGTTTTTTAACTTCCAAGTTTGTCTACACATTTAGTCCTACTTCAAAGGAAAATCCTGCAATTCCAAATTCACTCTGGAGTCTCTCCAGAATCAGTATTCCAAAATGGGTAAGAAGGTAAGGCATTTGCAGATTAAGTCTGGCGCGAGTGGTGAAGCTCACCTATTGAGCTCACCATTCTGGGAGGCTGAGGCAGGAAGATCGCAAATTCCAGCAAACCTGGACAACTCAGCAACTTAGGGAGGCCTGGTCTCAAAAAGGGGCTGGGGGTGTAACTCACCGTGAAGGCCCTGGGTTTAATCCTAAGTACTTTAAAAAAAAAAAAAAAAAAGACAACAAAACATTACACTCCATTAAAATATCGTACAGCATTCTCAACTGTGTGTCCAGTCCTTCGTTAGGAAGGGGAGCCAGCATGGGAACGGACTGTCTTCCAAGTTTGAAGATTTCTACCTCCGTAACTGTAAGTCAATTTAGAAGCCACGGGAGACGAAGAGGCGGCACCGTAATAAAGGGCTCCCCTCTGCGGTCGCCCCAGGGCCTTTCCATCCAGTCCTTAGGGTCTCCCGCGGAGAACTTCCGCAGGAAGCCAGCTGACACCCAGGGCTCCGTTCCGCGCCCTTCCAGAGCCGCTCTCAAACAAGCATGGCCGCGCGTGGGCCCCGCGGGCAGCGAAACACACGAGGCAAACCCAAGCCCGGTGGACGGGCCCCCAGGCCCCAAAGAGCGCGCGAAACCCGAGCGCGGGCGGGGGGGGGCCTCGCCCTCGCTTTACCTGTCGCGAAGCCCGCGCTCCCGGATCCGCGCGGCCGTCCCGCGTCCCCGCCGCGCGCCCGTCCTCCCTCCGGCAGGCTCCGCGCTGCGCTCCCAGCCCACGTGAGCCGCGCTCCGCGTGGACGAGACCATTCTGCGGCCACGCGGGGGGGGGCGCGGCGGACTGCGCGACGACGGGGACGGAGCCGGCCGGGTGTTACAGTGCCCTCGCTCCCGGCTGTGTTCCTCTTCGAGCCTCGGGCCGCGCGCCTGTGGAGGCTGGTGGAGTGCCCATAGATGACTGCGCCAGGCCCCCGCCGGAACCCCGCCGGCGTCCCCCTCAGGCCGGGCCGCGGTGGTGGCGTCACGACCCCGCCCTCCCGCACTGCACTCCCAGCGCGCTCAGTCTCTGCCCGGCGTCAGACCCAGCCCGCTGCCGGCCTCGTGCCTGCCGCGGCTCGTCTCCCCAGCGGTCCCAGCCCCCGTGGGCCGGGACCGCTGCCTCCGCGGCAGCACGGGGAGGCGGGCCATGGCGGCCTGCGTGGGGAGCCGGACCCTGAGCAAGGATGATGTGAACTACAAGATGCATTTCCGGATGATCAACGAGCAGCAAGTGGAGGACATCACCATCGACTTCTTCTACCGGCCGCACACCATCACCCTGCTCAGCTTCACCATCGTCAGCCTCATGTACTTCGCCTTCACCAGGTGAGGAGGTGGCGGGGAGCGGGCCGGCTGCGCCTCACACACACAAACACCCGCAGACCCGCCGCCCACGCGGCTCTGCATCCGCCGGGGTTCCCCAGGACGCCCAGCCTGCGCCCCAGCCCCCCCACCCTACTTCCGATTACCACCTGTCTGTCCCGCGCCCCGGTTACCCCAGGAGCACTCGCGGGTCACCTAGCACTACCCCTCCCCGCGCGCGCCTTCGCGCACCGCCTTCGGCATCGCTCCATGCGCGTCACCACGCGGCGCCCTCCTCTGCAACCCCTTCAGCCCCGTGCGTTCCCAGGGTGCGTTTCCAGCACACCGCACGAATCGTCTCGTGTGCACCACTTGCAGCGCACTACACGCACAGAGTAACCCAATTCACAGAGCTTACACGCACCAGATACAGGCCCGGGACACATCCTAGGTCTCTTCCCCTAGAACTCCGCACGCACGCCCGTGTGAGGTGTGCCACCGGGTGTTTCCCGTGCAGCGCCTCCCTTAGGCATTGCAGACAAATCGTCCAGCTTAACCCTTCCCCCAGCCTCGAACGCTAGAGTCTGTAGACAGCACACACTGCCATCACGACCGATCTTTCCTAAAACCTCCTGTGCACATTGTACACGGGCAGTAGCCCCAGCACACGTCACAAGTGCGCACCTAGCCCGTTCATCATCTAATATGCAGGTCGAATGAGATCCTGCCAGGCGGTTATAATGGTGCCTGGTGCCTTGTAAATGCTGTATGTGTTAAAACGCGCAAACCTCACACTACGTAACAACTCTTTTCCCCAAATATACACTCTCACACGCTCAGAGCACTTCAGATCCGTCCAGGTTCACAGGGGCTGACCAGCCCAACTCTGGAACACACACGCCATGTGACTAAACCCCTGAGCCTGTGGCCCCTCAGCCTAACCAGGGAGTTAACTGATCCCTCTTCCTAACAACACATACACACACCCTGGTTCTGATTTAAAACAGCTTATGTTTTCCGAATGAAGCCCTTCAAAGGAAGGAAAGTCATACCAGCTATGTTATTATAGCTTGAAAGATCAACCTAGGTAGCCGTATTTTGGAGCTAGACAGTTGGTTTCAAAACTGGCAGTGTTTTTAGTTAAGTTACTTAGCCTTGTTCTGAGTGTCAGAGTCCACCCTTATAAAATGGGGATAAAATGTGCATTCGTCCCCTATGAAGTTATGAAGACTCATGATTGTGTATGAATAAAATGAATGGAATATCTACTACAGGAAGCCTAAGTAATACCAGTTTTCTCCTGATACTTTTTTCAGTGCTCAGGGGTGCTCATTCAGGGTCAAGAGAAGATGTGTAGAGGTATATTGGATGGTCATAAGTATTGAGGAAACCTGGGTGTTTAGTGGAAGGGAGGGTAAAGAATACTAAATGTATTGTAACATAAAGGATAGCATTGTACAACAAAGACTAAATTGTCCCATCACACATATATACAACACAAGTACCAGTGGTGCTCCCTGGGGCATTACTGCAATTTTTCAGATTTTTGTAAAATCAGTAACCTCCCACACTACACACTCCCTACCTCCATAATCCTTTTGACTCTTAATTCCTATTATTTGTTAATTTGTATGAGTCACCTAAAGATGCAAACAAGCATAAGTAACAATTACTCTTTAATAACTGAGGGGTACTGCTTCGGTATTATTATTGTAAAGTCTGCCAGTACTAGGCAGGCCAAACCTTTCTATAGTATCTAGTCAGTTGTATTTCTAGCCTTGGAGAGAAGTCACTCTGACTCTAGTTGTGGTTACATTCAGTACTTCATCATGTCACCTGATTATATCATTCGTGGCCACTTAATTTTCCTAAAGCTTAGTTTCTTTTTCTGTATGTAAAATACTGACATCTCATAGGATTGTCTGCCATTAAGACAATTCATTAAGAGAATTAAGTTCATCTTTTTTAGGTAATTTGTGTTTAGTTCAGTACATGGCAGATAGTAGGTATTTAATAAACATTGGTTATTATGTGATTTTATCATACACTAATACATCCAAATTACATTTCTTATTGAATGAGGATATAGGTAGCTATTTGAGAAGAAAGGAGAAAAACATTGGAAAGATGGAGATTATATATCATCCATACTTGTTTCACGTTAACCTCCATTTAATCTCATCCTATATGTGAGGTTCACAACAATGGGATAAATGAGATTTCTTTGTAAATGGGAAAAGCCCAGTAATTAAATCTTGAGAACCATGAATGAGCAATTTATTTCAACTTTTTATCTTTAATAATAATGTAGGCTTTTTCTTTTTTGTCTTCCTTTTTTTTGTACTGGCGATCAAACTCAGGATCTTATGCTTGACAGGCAGGCACTGGTGCCACTGAGGTATCTCCCCAGCCCAGCAGGCCCTTTGTTAGTAGATCTTCCATTCTCTTTTAATAGAGAAAGTCACATTTTTCTGAAATTTCTTTTTCATGCCGTATTCGGCCAAGGCAGCTGATAAATTGCAGCAATGAAAGTGTAAGAAATTAATCTGAATTTTAACAGCTTGTCAAAAGTAATAGAAAAATCATAATCTGAACCTGAAGCTATGTTCTTTTCCAAAAATTAAGTTTTATTTCTTACGCTGATTTCATAAAGAGACAAATCATGTAATGAGAAATGAATTCATAACAAGTCTCACCTTATAAAATCTTAAGCACCATCAATAAAATTAGTCATTACTATATCCTTTTCTAATGATTTGTGACACTTTTAAGTGGGATATTATAACAGTAGTGTTGTCTTTCTCTATAAAGATTGAAAGTAGTAACTTCTTAAAATGATTCCATCTACACTCTCTTGTAATGACCATCAGTAGCACCTTATTTTATCCAAATTTTTAGTTAGATAACTGTGCAGTACAGTCCTTTTGGTAAAGCTTTAAAATTGTGCTTTAAAGTTTATCTTGCAAAAACTAGTTGTCTAAGAGACTGGGAGAATACTTTGGAGATGTCATATTGCCAGTCATATATTGTCATATTGTATGAGAGATACTACATACCTGGGTAAGGCCACATGCCAGAGACCTAGCAAGAATTTAGGATTTCAAAGGATTGGATCCTTGTGCCTGAGTCCGAGTTGAGTTTGGAATCTGTAAGAGGGGCCGAGTGGGAGATTCTTCAGTCATTGGCGGTGTGCTCTTGGAAGGTAGTACTTATGCAGTCCTCCAGAACTTCACCAGAATGTTATGTATGGATCATGCCCTCTCCCTCCTGTTCTCTCTGGCCCAAGCCTGAGATACAGTCACACAAACTTCCACCAGTGCTGTCCACAACATGACAAAGCAACCCTCCCCATAGAGCCAGTGCTATGCCATTTGAACTTTCAACTCCTGTATTAATCAGCTTTCCTGCTTCTAGGACAAAATAACCAACACCCATAACTTAAAGGAGGAAAAGTTTAATTTGGCTTATAGTTTCAGAGGTTTGGCCTGATTCCAAGGCAGAAACAGGATGACCGAGGGGCATGCTGGGACAAAGTGGCTGGGAAGCAAAGCAGAGGGGAAGACCATCAGTAATAGGTATATCCTCCAAAAACACACAACCAGTGACCCCCTTCCTCTAGCTGGGCTCCCCTCCTAACAGCACAGTGAATTTACAGAAGATCATAGCACCCCATGACCCAATCACCTTTTCAAGAGTTGCTTAATCCTGTGAGGTTGACAATAAAGAAAATGGCACACCCCCTCAAACTATGACCTAAGTCAACCTCTTCTTCATTAAGTAGCCCGTGTTGAATATTTCATTATACTGACTTGAAGCTGACTGATACAGATAGCAACCAGGCCAGTCAGTGGTGAACCACCGTGCTTCCTCGCCCCATCCCTGTCACCACCATTGAAAGTGTCAAGTGCTATCTGATCATTTCCTAGGATTTAAAGAATGTTATTTTACCACATTCTAGAATAAGTAATTTTTTTAAATAAAGTACATGCTTAGGCATATGTTTATAAATTTGTTCAGCCAAAGTAGGGTAGGGAAATGACTTGTCTCCACCTCAGAGTGTAATAATTACTGAGTGCCCTCATATTTACTCTGCTTTTGGAGGTGGGTAAAATACTGGAATGGGCTTAGTTATAAAAAACTTGAGCTTTCCATTTGAAAACATAAAAATCTACTAGATCACATCAATGGAAGTCCACCCGACTTTAAGAGGCACTGCCACTAAACAGCGACGCCCACCTCTGTTACCTCTTGTCCAGCAGAAAGGGGTCCCTGCCTAGAGGAGAAAGCCTTCCTGCAAATCCCTGTACCAAGTGGTTATCAATTTGTCTAGGCAGACTTTCTCTTGGATGTGGAATTTGGGAGCCAGGCAAGGGCAGAGAAATCGATAGATGTTTATTTTATTTTTATGTGTTTGTTGCTATTGGTTTTTACTTCATTTCTATTACTGACTTTGGAAGTCCAGTTTATCCTTTTTTCATTAGACTATATTTCTGACTTCATGTATGGTTCTCTTATGGGTCTTAGCAAGCCTTCCA